CTTGTGTTATGAAAGAAGATGTCCACGTACCCCTTGGAACCTTATGCTAATGCTTGTTTGTTTAGTGATGGACTATGTTGTATTGTTAAGTTACAAAACAATAAAACGTAAATTTAAAAAAAAGAAAAAAAAATTGGGGACTCTTTCCCTATCCTATGTGACAGCACCTGGCCAATCACCCAGCAAACTGAGGTCACATGAGAGGAAGGAGACTGAGCCATCTTCTCCAAAACCAAATGCACCAGGTATACTGTTTGCTCCCAGTGGATGGCTGGAGCAGCCAGAAGTCAGGGAGTATTACCTGTTGCCATGCCCTACAATGGAAAAACACATGTTTTCTTTCAAGCTCATAGAAGAGTAATTATAATTTATAATAGCTATAATTTTAAGCATTTCACAAAGAGAGGGGGAAATAAAAAAGAAATAGACAACATTTTTTCACCAACAGGAAAATTATTATCCTAGTTTAACTCAAGGAGCAGTGCATGAAGACTCAACTATCCCAGATACACCCTATCCAATAACAAAGACTTTGATGTTTTCTAGAACTTTATTAAGCAGATATATAAAAGACATGCTATATATGGACATTTGCGGCGAATTGTAAATGCTTAAAAGTATGCCTGAAATCAGACATGTGCAGTAAATATTGGGGCTATAAATTTGCTTTTAGAAGCAGCTCAGCCACTACACATATAAAGCATGCACACACCTGAAGAAATAAAGCATAACTAGTAAAACCAGAGAAAAGGCAGAAGGGGGTGACAGTATCTGGCTCCTGCCACTTGCCAGAAACTTTGAAGAGACATTTTATTTTCGTGTACAAGCAAAAATGAATATTCTGATTTTAAATACTTTGATAAACTGAAACACATTAAACCAAACTAAAGTAGCCTGGCTCTTTTTGCATTTATTCATAACCTATATGTCAATTCTCCAATAAATAATGTGCCTGTTTTCAGAGAAGGCTGATTCAGAAACTTACCACTATCAAAGCAATTCATTATTACAAACTGAGACCCAAGGTTTTTTTTTAAATAAAAATAGAAAAGTGTCAAATATAAATAAAAACAAAAAAGGAAGTATTCAATTGCAAAGCAAATGTAAGAAGTGGGGAATCAGATTAGTTAAAAATGCTTTGGTTACTATAGGCTACTGCACATTGAAACTGCTTTACAAAAGACAATTTGCACGCACTTTATATGTGGCTGAGTATATTGCATCTCTCTGCCATTATATCTGCCATTGCTTATACTATTCTGATTTCCAGAGTCTGCAGGAAAAAGAATCTGGGAAGCCAGTGTAAAAAAAAGATCCTTGCCTCTTAGCCTGCTTTTGGCAGAAAAAGCCTCCATAATAATATCTTACCAGCATCTTTAAGCAGTTCACCTTTCACACCTATACACCCTTTCAGGACAAGAACAATCTTTAGTTTTCCAATATGGGCCTATTGATTCAGCAAAACATTTTCCATTACTTAAATCAGAACTGAAGCCAAACATTTTTTTTTTTAGTTTTGAAGGAAGTGCTACTACCCCTGTTGGCTTTTTGTTTTTGCCCCGTGGCCCATTAAGGAAGGTTCCTATCACTTCCTGTCTGAAGCCTAACAGGAAGTGAAAGGAAATCCCTCCAAAGTGAGGGAAATCTCTGGTGTTCAGCAGGGTCACCAGAACTAGCATGCCCATTGCAAGATGTCCCATCTATTCCTGTTCTGTAGACAAACCAAAATTTGGGATTTTCTTTCACTTTTACTTTTCTCTACTCTATCCAAAACTAAAAAACAATGTCTTCATTTGGGAGGTACAGCTCTGTGGTAGAGCACTGAACTGCAGAGCAAGAGGTCCTTGGTTCAAATCTGGGTGCCCTTCGTATGGTTTAGCCTTTGGGTAATGTAATACTGTTCAGGGGTGATAGACACTGGGGGGTTTAGCTTGTGTATTAACAAATATGAAGTTTTGACAGGATATAGGCTGTATCAGATTTTTTTTCAAAGATCACAATTGCAGTTCCCCATAAGGTCTTATTGGTTCATGATTTCCTAATGTCCCAGTTTGTAATTAGTTATGGGGGGTCTTTGAACATGTGTTGGTGATTTGTGTTTGTACTTTGGCTTGAAAAACAATCTAGTGTGGGCTTGAAATGTCATATTTTCTAGAATCTATGCTACGTTTTTGTTGTAAGAAAATAAAAAAGTGCTATTTTACCAGGAAGCACTTTTTAAAGTCTTGGTGCGGGACACCTTTTACTGCAATGTGTTCCCTATTTATTCTCATAAGCTTTTATTTTAAAGCACTGAAACTCAAAATTGGTTCTTTTTTTTATATATGTGACTTTGTGTTATACCAAGAAATACTCTTAAAAATAAAAACTGACATATACATAAGTATACATATAATGTAATATCTATTGAACCATCTTTTGTACCTATGACAGATTTAGACCTATTGGGATGAGTTTGTATCAGCATGTCATACTATTTGGTCATGATTTTAGTGCATTCCCTTGATCCCTTCCTCAAGCTACTAACCTTGTTTTTAAGACTGTGTACCCATTGGAGACATGTGTGCTGACAGGAGGTGAAGGTACATCAACAGCAGTAAAAACCTGACACAGGCTTTAACCCTTCTAGGATCTATTAGAACAAAATAAAAAGGTGTAGCGCACTGATGTAGATCACCAGTCCACCCCTTTATCATTTGTCACTGATTTGGGACTAGGGCTGCAACAACTAATCGACTAAATCGATTATAATCGATTATTGAAAAAGTTGTAAACGTTTTCAATCATCAATTAATCGGCTTCCGATTAGTTGGCCCCGTTCACGGCTCCTCACACACTGCGCGCCGCTGCCAGACGCGCCCGCCCACATCCACGCTCCATACGCCGCACCTCCTCACGATTGGCACAGGGACGCGGGGAGAAGAAGTAAGGAGGAGCAGGTGTGGGGGGATGACAGCCGCCGATAGACAGGCCCGATCTCAGAAGCAAGTTGCTGTAAGAATGCTCAGGTAAGCCTGCAACATGGTTCTCTTTAATGTATTGCTGGGATTTGTATTCTGATGGTACATATTGTATATTATGGTGTATATTATACAGCACAATGTACCATCAGCTATAGAGGAATACACATCCCAGCAATACATTATACACTGTATGTATAATGTATTGCTGGGATTTGTTGTATTCCTTTATAGCTGGTGGTATTCTGCATTGCGCTGTATAGAGAACTACAAATCCCAGCAATAATACATTACACAGTGCAATGCAGAATACCACCAGCTATATAGGACTACAAAACCCAGCAATAGTACATTATATAGCGCAATGCAGAATACCACCAGCTATAGAGGAGTACAACAAATCACAGCAATAATACATTATACAGTGGTATAATGCCGAATACCACTAGCTATAGAGGACAACAAAACCCAGCAATAGTACATTATACAGAGCAATGCAGAATACCGCCAGCTATAATGTACTATTGCTAGGATTTGTTGTACTCCTCTATAGCTGATAATATTCTGCATTGTGCTGTATAATGTACCATTGCTGGGATTTGTAGTCCTCTATAGGCGGTGCCATTCTGCATTCATTGCTGTATAAATTTTACACTTTCCATTTCACTTTATTGCACACCACACTTTTTTTTTTCTTTTTTACTTTCACCGCTCCAAGCTTGCTCCTGTGATGGATTACAATCTCAATACAAACTAGTAGTCCCATCACTGGAGCCATTTTAAAAAAATGATTTTATTTTTTATCCGATTAACCAATTCATCGAACTTAATAATCAAACGTAATAATCGGCTAACTAATCGATTTAGAAAATAATCGTTAGCTGCAACTCTATTTGGGACCCCGTATCGCTGACCTGTTCGCAATGCAAGGGAAGTATTCCCAAACAAACCCACTGCAGGCTCCTTGCTGTCTCCCACATACAGAACGCCTGATATATTGAAGTGTCAGAAATAAAATCCCACAACCACTAAGGTGTTTTGCTATATCTGGTTGCAGTGGATTAGTTTACAGATTCATATAAATTAAGTAGATTTTTTTAATAAAGTCAGGTGTGGACAAATTAATATGGAATTCAGTAGCCAGTCTGTCCTATCCAGGAGCCAGCAGGATTTTTTTCAACAGTGAGCTCTATTGACAACTACCTCAGAAGTTAGGAGCCACCTGTCATTTTCAATATGCATTGGCTACCTAGCTCCTGGGATTTGTCCAGCCCTGATTTAAGTCCATTTACAATGTTTCATGGATAGCGTTAGTAGTTTTACGAAGTTTCACTTTTTATTTCCTAAAATAAAAGTGCCATATTAAAAAAATAATATTAATGCTGTGGAGCTTTGAGATTAAATTCACAAAGATAAAAATTTAAGTGCACAGTGTGTTGCTCGATAAAATGAAAACATGCCATGAGTCTAAATAACTTTGTAGGATGCTGTATATTTGTGGTAGCATTATTCTTATTCCATAGTCAACCTAGTGGGGGAATAAATCCACAGCTTTGCTTAAAGTGACATTAAACCCTCAGATTTTTTAACATAAACCAATACTGTAATGTGTGCCTTATTGTAATCCATGGTAGTTTCCTTCTCTTTGCTGCTCTTCCTTTTAAATCCTCATGTCTTCTCATGCTTGGGGAGAACTTCCCTTTGCAGCTGAGTGCCTCTTCCTGTAGTGCTGGCTCAGGTTGCAAACCTGCACACAGACACCATGTATCCATTTCAGAGACAAGGCAATCTGCTGCAAAACAGAAGTTCTGCCCAGCATGAGAACACATACAGATTTAAAAGGAAGAGCAGCAAAAAGAAGGGAAACAACCATGGATTACAGTAAGGCACACATTACAGTATTGGTTTATGTTAAAAAATCTGAGGGTTTAATGTCACTTTAACTTCATGACAAGAAAAAAATCAACTAAACAATTATTAAATAATGCAGTCCTAGCATAAGGCAATATAACAATGATCCTGCAGGTGGAGTGCTCTTACCTTAATCCAGCTGTTGGCTTTCATTTCTATAGCATTCTGAGGTTCACTGCTGTACAAGCAGGCCAAGCAACACATCAACAACTTGAAAGTGTCTGCTAACAGATAAGCATGAACAAAATAATATAACAAAGCTGTGATCTGCAACAATGTGTCACACAAAAAAAAGGAAATAAGTAACATTTGCTTAGCTTGATGCTCATGTGAAAAGATAGCTGAAGATTACCAGATATTGAGGCTAGGTTCACACCTAGGCGATTGAGCTGGTGAGCTGTTTTCACACGGTTGTCAAGCGTTTTTGTTTGCACGGTTTTCAATGCATAGAGATGTCCATAGGACCCAAACCTCCTGCACCTGTTTGCGTGACAGGCAATTTCTACCACGGGGCAAATCGCAAAGGTGTTAACAGTTTCGATAGACTTTAAGCCAAATCTCTGTGTTCTGCGATATCGCGCGGCTCAATCCGCACGATAAGTCGCCTAGGTGTGAATCTAGCCTTAGTTACATATGTCATAGGTTCTGTCAGGTTTGTGGATTATTTTGCTAGTTAAAGTTTAAGTACTTTTTAAAAGTATGACATTTTAAGAAATGCTAAATGATAGATAAATATATTATTATAAACAATACAGAAATTAGATAATTTAGATAAAAGAAATTAGATAAAACTGCTTGAATTCTGGCAGTGACCTCTGTCAAGAAAACTGCCATTCCTCTAGGCAAAACTCTGGTGCCAACGCATCTCAGAACCAAGATTCTCTATTGGGCCCACAGCTCCAAACTGGCAGGTCATCTGGGGGTTGATAGGCCATCTCCTTCTGTCCCATCACTATTGGTGGCCAGGAGTAGAGAGGGACATTAACTACTTGAATCCCAGCTCCCATTGTCAAAGTAGCTACTAGGGGCATCTGTCCGCATGTAAGCTGGAAATGCCGGCTGCAACATGGGTCCAGCGATAAGCCGAAGAGTCTGGTGCTAAGCCCATGGATACAGGAATCCCGCCCTCCTCCCCAGGCTTTTGTATTTTGACAGCTGGAGCCTGACGCTAACAGAAACTGCACCTGATTGGTTGCAGTCACTGTTCGGCCGACTCTGCTCCTTTGACAAATCTACTTTTGTTGATCTGGCAGGGCTACCTACTGTTAGAATTTCAAACCATTGCCACATTCAAGCAGTGTATGGCCAGCTTAAATTTCTTCCATGTTATACTGGCCTTTTTTAAATCTGGCCCGAGATCAATCTTGTGTTCATCAAGTTATGATTTTCCCTCATTTCCGCATATCCAATTCCATTTATACCTCTTTTCTGAAGCCACAGGTTCTAAACAGATTTTCGTGCCCTGCTCTAGTTGTTGCTCCCTAAGCAGCTAGTTCCCAGGAATACAAAGTCCAGCAAATCTTAGCTTTCAAGATTTCCAGAAGCAACTTGTATTAACTGTTGGATAAGAAAACCTACGTCCAGGAGAACACCCCTGTAACTTACCACCAGATGTTTTTTTTTCTCCTCACCCTGTAGGGAAATTCTATTGCCTGTTACCTCTGAAACCAAGCCCTCAAGGGTGGGGAGGCTGGGTAGTGTTACACTGACTCGGCGTTCCAGCGCTGGCACCCCATCTAATGCATCTTCCAAAGCCATTTCAGTGTTTTACCTGGAGTGTCATGGCCACATTATGTGATGTGTCACATGACTGTATCCTCTATTTAAATAGAATACACTGTCACTGCTTGGGCTCAGAGCCCAATTGCCTACCCCCCTAGGCTATCGAAGATATATAGATATTTGCCTCACCACCCAAAGCAAAGCACCCGCACTGCCCATAGCACCCACAGCCTCACTGCACCTTCAGTATATCTCTGCAACTTTCCCAGTCTCTGCTGCATCTCTGCCTCACAAGCAGCCCTGTTGGACCTCAGCAACACACACAGACTCTGGCGCTTCTTCCTGCACTCTAATCCCTGGTTGAATCCCTGTACTGTCCAAGTTCCTGCTGCATCTCCACTGCACCTCAGCTACACCCAGTCTTTGCTGCATCTATATTGCACACACATCCCTCACTGAACTCAGCTACACACACCTACATCTCCACTGCTCCCGCAGCCTCCACAGCACCCTATAATTTGTCCTGTTTAAAACAGCATGGCAAGTTATTCGCAAATGAAAAAAGGGCACTTTAAATTTGGGTATTTTCCTATGTGACACTCTAAAAACGTAACAAAACAGACATTTTTTTTATTTACAAATCAAAAAAAAGATATTTAAAAAACAAATCAGCAGAAAAATAATAGCTATAAGGAAAAATTAGTTAATTAGGGCTGGTAAGGGTAAGTGTATTGGTTATTTGTTTAGATGAAGCACTGAGTTCTTGAGGAATGCTGAATTATGTTTTACTTGATTAGGAGAATATGACATCAGAATACATGCAGGAAATATATAGATAGGAAAACGTCCTGTGTATCATAGATAAGCATGCATATGGAAAACTAACATTGCCCTACACTGCCATCTACAGCTCAAAAAGACACATTACAGTCAGCAATACAATCAGTACATATCAGAAATGCCAGTGATACATTCAGTACCTATCAGCATACGCTGCTGTATCTCCAACAAAACTAAGGGTTAATAAGGCGTTACATAGGAATATATTTATGTACTTTAATTGTAAGGTTTCTTTAACTGATGTCATATGCAGATCAAAGGCCACACCTTAGATCTACATATTAATGGAATAGTAAATACAAGAAAACAATATATTGATTCCTTGTATTTAGTCAATGACACTTGCACACTATTCACAAGTGTAATTTTACACAGGATCCGCTGCATTTTGACAGCCGCTCCTGCTGTGTAACTAAAAGCAATTACCAAATGTAATTTGGACAGCTGGTAAATAGCTTTGGGGGTGAGTGGTGGCAGGTGGAGAGGAGTTGGACATAAGAGATGTGTCCTAAAAACATACTTCAATAATCACGAGTACAGGTTGGAAAACAGGATTTTTATACTCACCGTGAAATCCTTTTCACTGCGTTCATTGAAGGACACAGCTGAGATCTTGAATCTCTAACAATAGGGTTATAGCGCCACCTTCAGTAGTACGAAACTGGGTAGAAAAAACAAAAGCACAGTCTAACCTCCCAATCTGCTAGAGCTAGCTCAGTCACAAAGAAGCGAATCACAGCACATAGATAACGACTGGTTACAGACAAGAACCACAAGAAGGGAGAGTGCTGTGTCCTTCAATGAATGCAGAGAAAGTATTTTACGTTAAATACAAAAATCCTATTTTCTCTTCTGTTCATTAAAGGACACAGTGGAGATCCTAAATCTCGAACAATAGGGACCTGCCAAAGCAGTGTCTACTGAGGTGTGGGAAACTAAACAATCCCCCTAAGGCAGAACAGAATAATGCTGACAAAAACATGTGCTGCCACAACAGAACATGAAGAAAAGAAGAAAAAAAAAAAAAGAACAGAGGAACATACAAAAGGACATATCAAGCTAAATAAGAGCCCTAGGACCTGAAGGCCTCAATCAGTATCTCAAGAAAAGGAGAAAACGGAAGCAGCAATTCGCATAGCCCAAAACACAGAGACACCAGCTCACAAAAACCTCTGGAATAAAAAAAAAGAAGCCAAGGCCCCAGGAAAACCACAAGCTAAAAGAGAACAAACAGGGAGAACTAGAGAGGGCATACCATGTACAAAAAAGCTCCCTTCAAGGACTGGAAAACCTTGGGCTCAGATAAGATCACAAGCACCAGAATGCCCCCGGCGATACAAAGGTGTTAAAAAATGACACAGATAGACTGTTAACAGGTCACAAGACTCCAATGGAGCATAGTCTGCTACGGAAAACATACTCCCTCCCACCAGGAACCTAAGTAAATCCAAGGAAAGTAGCCATCCTAACATAAACAACGTGGGAAACACAAACTCAGAGAGGAACCTGCCTCCCAGGACCAGGGCCACAAAGCCATGTCATGACAACAATGACCACAAGGCAGGAAGGGAAATCGATCCATGAAAACAAAGAGCCAGGCTGAGAGAAAGAGCCCATAGAGCATCCACCAGCAGCCTGACGGGTCTTAGTGGAACAGCCGCTAGGGCCACCCAGAACCAAGAAGGGCACCATAATGTCCTCCATCACAACATGTCGTGCAGAGGAGAAAAGGTGCGTGGAAGAAAAAAGCAGCCTGCTTCAATCCCACAGAATCCGACTGCGCCTTCAAAGGATGCCGTACTCAGAAATCGCTGAAGACTTAAGTCCTCCAATGACCAATCTCTTTTACTGACCAGACATGTAGAGCTGGCCATAAACTGCTTAGATTTTCAAAAGAACTTTCTTTCGACTTTCTATCAGTTGATGGCGTCAAATTGAAGATCGATTTTGACCGTAGGGCCAAAAAAAACAAAAACAAATTCTAACAGAGAATAAATGTTTTAGTTTGGGAAACTCCATTCATTTCAAAATCAAATGTTATAATAAACCAAAATTTTCGTTCAACATTCGTCAAATGTCTGATGGCATTACTGGGTGGTAAAAAAAAGATCTTTAGTTTGTACATCAACTAGTGCATGGCCAGCTTAGGAATCCTCACCAGCCAGTCAGGTCATCATCCATAGTGACGATGAACCAAAAGGAACCCAGAGGAAGGAATATGCTGGCTGCAAAGCCAGAGACAGAGCCACCACACCAAAGAATTCGGTCCTTGAAGTCAGGAAAAGCAACCTGTTGAAGGACTGAACTGAGTAAACAAGGATGCCAAAGGTAAGTACAGAGGCTGAAACCGAGAGGCGCTCAAGTCCAATAAAGATTTCAGAACATTAGCACCCCGCCAAAACTATTTCCAAGTCAGGAAAGCCCATATCCCAATGTCGGCAGAGCCTGATCTAGCGTGCACTAAAAGGGAAGAAGCCCAGAACTGCCAGATAAGAATCTCCAAGAAGCAGCCACATTACACTGGAGCCAGCACTCGGAAAAATACTAAGGAGTGCAATAAAATGTCCGGATCCAACAAATTCAGGAGCCCACAGAGAAATTGGAGAGAAAGAAATGTTTCACAAAATTTGTGTGGCATCCTAGCACAGGGGCCATGCCATCA